ATGTGTGACAAAAGTGTTAAGACAAATCTGTTTAAACCACTTGAGGCTATGTCTTCCATTCTCGTCCATGGCTATGGGGGTACCTGAGAAGGAAGAGAGTAAACACAGCTGTTCACCACTTAGAACCTTTTAGTGTATCCCACGTATAGGTGAGACCTATGTATGGAGGTCTTCTACTCATAAAAAACAGTGATTTTTTTCTCATTTATTTCTCTTCTAAGAAGAGAGGGAAAACAACTTCAAAGTACAGACAAGACAAACAGTTTGAAATAAGAGTAAAATAAAGCAGATTAAACAAATTCACATATAAATTGTCCATGTAAACTTTGGTGTAATAATATTTTTTCATAAATAATGGAGAAAATGGTAAATCTAAACGGATTTCCAGAAGCACAGATGTCCCAGCATAGTCTATCATATAATTTAAATTTAGTTTTTATTTAAATTTGAGTATGAAGCTCCACACTTGAATTAAATTGTAGATTGTGTAGTTTGTTTGTTTTCCTGGAATAAAAGATGGTTTTACTAGTAGTTATGTTGTAAAATCATCTTGAATCTAAAATTTTAATTAAAATTTTAATTACTGATGAATTTTCAGAACTGCAAATAATTCTAGACAATACAAAGATTTTGTTTTTAGTAATACCTGTTGCACTTCACTGATCTCAGTCTGGAACAGGACTGTATATATGAGCATCAGAATTGTCTCTGTGACATAGTAGTGAAGGAGCAAGATATTGCAGTTGGCCTCCTGCTGCACTATGTGTAATTTCTCTGCAAGGAAATTCTGGTAAAACTGTGCTGGGGATTAAGATTATTCCTTTTGTTTCTTTCTCTCATGGAATTTTGTCCCATCTGTTGCTAAGAAACAATAACTACCGATACTTACAAGAAAAAAAGATGCGGTTGGGAGGAGGAGGAAGGCGAAGGGTGCAGTTGGCTACTGTCTGTACCTGGGTCGGGATCCCTGAGCCTCTCCCCCCTCAGAAGGATGCTTCTTGTAGCACTGGCAGGTGGGAATCACTTCCCAAGTGCCGCTTCACGGGACACAGGAAAAGGGTGTGCATGAGATATTTAGCCTTAACTGCATCCTACCAATTTCAGTTTGAAAACCCAGGAAGTCTGATACTCTTTAAATAAACTGCCTTGTATAAACAGAGATAGTGAGCTATGCTGATCAAGGGTTTCCACAGGTACAGGGAGTGCACTGTCAACAGGGATGTCACTTTCCCTGGTCCCACTAAAACTCACCTCCTTACAGGTAGATGGGCAAGAAGGGGGGAAAAGTCAACAAATTTCCTCAGAGGTGCTCTGTTTTTCTGGTTCTTTTTGTTGTCTCTGCTGTTGTTGTTTTTTTGCCTTGTTACACATACATATACTAGAAAAGAACTGTTGTTCCTTTTCCCATATCTGCCTGAAGGCCTCTTAATTTCAAAGTTATAGTAATTCAGAGGAAGGGGGTAATTTTTTTTTTTCATTCCAAGGGAGGTTCCTGCCTTCCATGGCAGACACCAGTTTTTCAAACCAAGACAGACCATAAGGACATAAAAAGCCGATTTCTCTTGAAAGAAAGCGGTATATTCATCTAAGATCTGGCTGCGTCCAGTGCCCAGTAAAATCAGTTGAAAAGGCTTTAACCACATTCAGTCAGATGTCTGTGAGTGTTAATAGATTTGACATAAAATTACCTTCCAAAATAAAATGGTGCATAGAAATGCAAATGGTTATAGAGCCAGATGTTGCAATAATGCAAACACAATGTAAAAATACCAAACTCAGCCATAAATGCGGAGGAGTTTAGGAACATTATAATAAAGACTAAAGACTATATATTTGTTAAGATATGATTAATGCATATGATTACCCAGGTGTATCAAGGAATAAATATATGCCTACAAAAATGTTACAGGATGTTTGGCAATCACAACTACTTCTCTGTAAATGATGTCTGTATGCCTCCCTAATGAAACGAAATGCCCAAGGAGTATTTCAAGATTACGTTCCTGTAAATTTGCTCTACAAAGACAATTGATATTTCTTTATCTTTTGCAGGTGGCTGTGCTAGCTCTCATATGAGCTATTTTTGTGAGCTGGGCACATTATTTTCCATCACTTAGAGCCAAATGCTCTGATTTGTTTTTAATCTCACACACCTAAAAGGGAGTTATTTGCTGATTTGTGGTGATACTTTAAAGAATGAAAGTGAAAAAGTAGTGAAAAGGGTTTTGTTTTGGATTTGAATACTGCCACCCTATCACAAATTTTTCAGATTTGTCTGACTCATGATAGAAATAGCTCCAGTCCTTTCAATAATTAATTTATAACACATAAATTTCCCCTTTCTTCCATCAAGCATATCCACTTCTCGCCATTTTTTGGAGGCTTTTTTGCTGTTGTTTTGAAAATGGCATTCAGCCATTATTCTTAACTTTCTAACGGGACACCTAAAGGACAGCCAGATTTAGTCAGTGCTTTCCACCTATGGCTGTTATGAATGTATATGGTGTTTTAGATGCCCTTTACATGATTTTTAAAGGCATTCTGAAAAAAGGTACAGGACTGTTCTTGTTAACCACTAGATGCCACCATTGTTGCTATAAAAGTGGTCCAGTCTATGTCTGTGTCCATTAAATCCCACAAGCCTTCAACAGATTTCTCTGCAGTGTATCAAAACAGCGGAACAGTATTGAACTAAAAATACAAATGCAGGTAGATACACACCTTATATTCAATTTATTTAGCAATTATTTTGATAATACACAACACCTTGGTGTCCATTTTCAACTCAGAAGTGTGTAAAGGGCTTTATAAATCACCTCTCATGGGTTTACCTGCTCTTTTTGTGACAAAAATAAGAGCTGCCAGATCTGAGGAGCTGGTGCAGCTGAGACTGACTGGAGTGATTTCAGTATACGCATAAGCAAGGGAAGTGGCTGAGTGTCATACATTGCACCTCTGCAACCCCAGAGCAGTAAGTTGTCTGAAAATTTAGGACACCATTATGATGGGGCTGTGAAGGTCTCAAGGAGGATGTACTGCACATGACTCACCATGGCCCAGTAACTCCTAACTCCTGTTTGCAAGGAGCCGGGGGGGGGGAAGGGATGGGAGAGAGTATTTTAAAATGCAAGACTCATACAGAAAACTGAGACTCTCATAACACTGGTAATTACCAATGCCATTTTAAAGCCTTTCTGGAGGACATCCTTTACACTTAGCTTGTCTGTTAGTAGCTCAGGGAAGACAGACTCAGGATCTGCTACCTTGTTGCTCACACAACATCTCGGGTAGTGATCATAAGTCCAGACACAACACTTGGGCTGTTGTTTTTAGTGATGACAGCTGGAGTGAATGCCTAATGCCTTACTGATTGGTGTTACAAACATATCAGCCTGTGTGCACATGGGGAGGAAATTAACCATGATCTCTTTGGAAAGGACATTCAGTCCTGGGGAAGCCATAGGGTATGCTTCCTGAGCTTGATGCTTCCATATCTCAAAAACACAAAGAGCACGCAGCCTGCTTACTGGCACAGTTACATGGATAAACTGCAAATTACTTCAGTAAGTGACCTCTTCACAGCTAAAGACTATGCAGAGTGGACTTGGTTTGTTAGGTGGGTAAAGCGGTATAATTTTCAAAAAAGGCTTGAAATTTTTCTCTCACTATTTGCATACTTTTGCTAACATCGCAGACCACCAGCCTCCATACTCCTTCTCCCACCTTGACATGTGTCTAACAATGGCTAAAGTCACAAGAAGTGATAGACAACACCACAGATTAGCCAAATGTGTGGTTTTGCTGAAAACTATTAAATATATGCTACTGGATCTGTTAAATTGATGTATTTCAGTGAATAGATGAGTGGATGTGAGGAGCAATTTACGGCTTTTGTTGGAGACAGACATCTTGCACAATTAAATCAGGGATGCATATAAATATGAAGCATATACAGGCAACCTTAAACTTCAGAATTAAAACTGTCTCTGCAGCTATAGTGTCCTTAACGTTTTATTGCTGTTGTCAGTCATCCTCGACTGTGGACAGCGCAGTTACCCAGAGGTTACCCAGAGGTCAGGAGGATGAGGAAGCAATGCTCCAGGATCTTGGAGCTCATGAGAACCAAAGCAAAATTAACAATACCAATAATACCTTACACTAATGATATACCCAGGCCGTGGAAATCCACGCCACAGGAAAAGGCACTTTTAGATGGGGAGTTCTTAACTGTCGAGGGCAGAAGGCAGAGGCCAGAGCGGAGGCAGCGGAGAGGGCATCTCTCCTCCCGACACGACACCCCGGACCTGCCTTCCAGGACCACCCCTCTGGAGGAGACGACCGGGCGGAACGGTCCAGCCCGGCGCCCCGTGGCCGCTCTCGGATAGTGCCCGCTGCTACGGCGGGTCCGGGACGAACCGGGGGATCCAGGGCGAAGCGAGGCTGCCGAGGGCAGCCCCGCCGGCCCCCGCCCTTCCGCACCGCCCGGCAGGCTGCCCCGGCCCTGCCCCCGCCCCAGCGGGCAGGAGGGTCGCCAGGGGACGGCGGGGCCGGTTCGGGTGTCGAGGCGGCGGCGGGGGTGATCCGCGAGAGGGATCTAAAAAAATCGTTTCCTTCCGGAGCGGCGGCGGCGGCCGCCACTTCTCCGGCGCAGCTCGGGCGCCGACGGCGCCCTCCGGGGTGAGGCGCTCGGCAGCCACGGAGGAAGGCGGCGGGCGCTGCGCGGGGGCCGGGGCGGAGGAGGCTGAGCGGTGGGAGGGGCAGGGAGGGACCAGCCGCGGCGGGGACAAGGTGCCAGCGGAGCGGAGGCGCCGCCGCTCGCGCTCCGCCGCCCTTCCACCGCAGAAGTTTGACTCGGGAGCAGCGCAGCCGCCCGGGCCGCCGCGGCGGGGCAGGGACCCGCGGCGGGAGACGCCGCGCTTGAGGCCGCCGCGGGACGGGGGTCGTCTCCAGCGGGACGCCGGTGGCGGTAGTGCTGCTCCGGGAGCCGCCCCGCCCGCGACATGGCAGCGCGATCCCGGAGACCCTGGCTGAGCGTGGTGCTGGGGCTGGTGCTGGGTTTCACCGCCGCCTCCTGGCTCATCGCCCCTAGAGTGGCCGAGCTCAGCGAGAAGAAGCGGCGCGGCGCCAGCCTCTGCTCCTACTACGGCCGCGCGGCGGGGCCGGGGGCGGCCC